GTGACCTCTGGTTAGGGATGATGCAAGGATGTCCCTGGTGCGATGGGCCGATGCAGAGTGGCCCTGCACCCTCCCCCACCCCCCCTCCCTTGTGACCCGGGCTCGCACCGCTGCAGTCGTGTTACTCTGCAACTGTGCCTCCCTCTGACCTGCTGGTGGGGAGGGGCGGGGACGACACGAGCCTTGACAGACCCCGAGTCTCCGTCGCAGCCGCCCGTGCCTTCGGTGGGTAATGCCAGGAGCGGCCGCGGACAACGTGTTGTGATAAGGCAGTGGTGGGGAACAGGACGCAGTCGAGCGGCTCGGCCGTCTGCTCAGGGGAGGTTCCAGGCTTGGCTCTGGGTGTCGCGATACGCGCAGCGCCTCAGACGGCCACTTCGGCCGTTTTTTTCTTACCTTGCTGCGCGTGCTTGCATATTTGTTCAGTGGCGGAGCCAGCGAGTCGCATTAGTCGGGTTGACCACCAGGAAAGGCTGAGGCGCAGAATGATGACATTTTGCTGTCCTTTGGCACTTATGCCAAGACAGTCAGATGAAGGAACCTGAAGTAAATGGCCTGTTCAGTCGTGAGCACATGTTTGAGCTTTCCGAGTGGTCGCCGCCCCTGTCTGCACCATGAACAAGTCATCTCCACAGACCCCGCTTCTGGAAAACCAAACGAATGTTCCTATCGCGGGAAACTAATTGCTGTTTATTGGGAGGCATGTGGTGTTTTCCCTTATATATTTTTTCCTGTCTTCGTATTCCGAGATGAATTTAAGCCGTCCTCGCTTCTGATGGCGAAGGGAACGGGTTGGGGGGAGGGGGGAGTGGAGTGGGGTGGGGTGGGGTGGGGTGGGGTGGGGTGGGGTGACGGCTTGACCAGACCCTTCACCACTGCCGAGCAACCAGATGTGTGTTTACTGCATTAGCATTTCGTCACACATCTCGACATGGCCTCCCCCTCCCCCCCTTCTAACGGTCAAAAATCGTCTTAAGTGTGTCACCTCTTAACATCGCCTTCCTCTGACGGTGCAGCGTCCTCTGGAACATTTCATTGATACTTCGCCAATGACGGCACCACTCCGGAACGAAGGTTCCCATACTTTGAAAACTCGACTGCATATTTGCGCCATGGAAACAGCCCGCGGGAGCATGAGGACTCTGTCGCCAAATGTCACCGAACCACCCGTCCGTCGCGGTCCCCATTCCCGTCTGTCGCCACGAAACCCCATCTGTCGCCGCCAACGCTCGGCCAGGGACGGGATCCCGGACGGACAGTTTGCAAGACCGTCAGTCTGGGACACACCAGAGCTGTCTCCTAGAGACGACCAGTCAGCAAGGGAGCCAGCCCACCTCTTCAGAATCCGGTGTGCCCTCCGAGATCCTCAGGGACAAGGTCCTGTCTGCCTCGGACATTCTCGGTCAGGGACGGACTCCCGTCTGCCCCTGAGACCCTGGGTCAGGGACGGGCTCCGATCTGCCCCGGACGACGTCGGTCAGGGACGGGCTCCCGTCTGTTCCCAACACTCTCGTTCAAGGACGGGCTCCCGTCTGCCCCTTAGACCCTTGGCCAGGGGCGGGTTTCAGTCGATGGCCGGTCGGGGGCGGAGGCCGCCAGCGAGCTCCGGCCTGCTCGCGTCCGTCCCGCCGCGTACCAGTGAGTGGGCTGGGCGGCATGCGGCAGGCGGCAGGCGACGGGCGGCGGGCAGATTGGGCGACGGCGGCGGCGGCGGCGGCGGCAGGCGGGCGGGCGGTGGGCGGCGGGCGGCGAGCGGCATGCCGTCCTCGCCCCTGTCGGCGACCTCGGCGCCTCGCCCGCCGCCTGTCGCGGCGATGTCCGACGCATGCCGAACCGCGCGAGGGAAGCTGAGAAGCGTTGGCACGCGGTCGGGAGATTCTGATATGCTGACCGAGTACTGACAGTGAGTTGAAGTTGAGCTGGGTATGTGGGTCGGCGTGTAGAACAAGGTGAAAGTGGTAGAATGTCTGGGCGTTATGTGTTGGCTGTGATATCTCCTGGCTTCATTGGCGTGCCAAATGCTTCTAGGATGTCAGGGTTGCATGTTTTGACTAAATGCACTGCCACTCCGGTAGACATGCAGATGCCAGGCCATATACGTAAAAACAGAACTGTGACTCCATCAAATCACATCGCAAGGTGCATTTTTCGTGGGCTATGTGAACAGCTGTAGTAAGGGAAAGCAAATGGAAGCTGTACGAGCCTGAATGTAACATGTCTTAAAGGGGAAAGTGGAACCTAAGGTGTGTGATGCCTCGTTTGAGTTGCGTTCATATGATCTGCTTCTGTCAAGAACCCACTCGTGGCATTCATTAATTTCCTTCATCATCGCACGAACGATGCGATCGAAAAATCTTCGATCTAGTCAGATTCCCGCGGTCTTCCAGGAGTCACTTCTGTGGTGACGATCGTGCAGTCTGACAGACCATAACGGACAGTTACGCCGCTCTCTGGGATTGGCACCGGGACTGGCCGCCATAGACGGTCGGAGAAGCCGCCG